CTCATCGAATGAAACATTACTTCTTCCAGAAAGTACTATACTCACAAAATAAGCTAGCTCAGGGAGATTTTCTGATGATCTCGCTGATATGGAACATAAACACCACATGCATACACACAGATGTCATCTTGGCAGTTCTGCCTTTCTTATGAGGCTAACTCTGTTGGTTTTATTTTGTTACTTTTCCAAATTCAGTAAAACATCACACTTTTAAAGACTGGACTGGGACCTAGGTCAATATGTAAGACAGGAATTTTTCTGAAGAAAATTATCAATTTACCCTAGAAATACTTTTTAATGTTTACTGATAGGCAAACATTAATATTCTTTTTTATCCTTTTTTAAATGAGTTCTGATACGAAAATGATGAACAAAAATTGGAAAAGCATTCATGAGCATTTACTTAAATCTTACTTATTACATAAATTAAATACTCCTTTTCAAATGGCACTGTGGAAAGGTATTTTCCTCTCCCTGTGGAACTCGGTAAGTGTACTGAGTTTGCTGCCATAACAAAGCACCACAGACTGAGTAGCTTAAACATCAGAAATTTATTTTCTCACAATGCTGGATGATAGACGTCTGAGAACAAAGTGTGAACAGGGCTGGTTTCTTCTGAGACCTCTCTCCTTGGCTTGCAGATGGTCATCCCCTCCCTGTGTCTTCACATGATCTTTCCTCTGTGTGTGTCTGTGTCCTAATTTCCTCTTCTTATAAGGACATCAATTATATTGTGCCCACCAGTATGACCTTATTTTAACTTAATTAACTCTTTAAAGATTCCATCTCAAACATGTCACATGCTGAAATACTGGAGAGTAGGACTTTAACATATGAATGTGGGGGTGGGAGTGCACAATTCAGCCCATAATAGTACACTTAAGACAACCTCCACAAACCAAGTCAGTATTATTAATATTTCCCCCAACAAATAGACCCACCACATATTTTGGATCATTTTGTTTTATTGATTAAATAAAACTATGATATATTCATATAATGGCATAGTATAATTGCCATAAAATGGAATAACCATAAAATTATGCTGGAGAAAAACATTTATATTTACCTATGTAGTTACCTTTTCCAATGTTCTTTATTTCTTCATGTGGATTTGAGTTACGGTCTAGTCTATGGCCATACCACCCTGAACACACTTGTTCTCATCCGAGTTACTATCTAGTGTCTTTTTATTTTAGTCTGAAGGACTCCCTTTAGTATTTCTTGGAGTACATGTCTGCTAGCAACAAAGTCTCTCCACTTTTGTTCGTGGAATGGCTTCATTTCTCCTTCATTTGTGAAGGATAATTTTGCAGATAGAGAATCTCAGTTGACAGTCTTTTTCTTTCAGTGCTTTGAATAATGTCTTCTCACTGCCTTCTGGCCTCCATGGTTTCTAATGAGACATAAGCTGTTAATGTCATTGAAAATCACTTGCATGTAATGAGTTGTTTATCTTTTGCTGCCTTCAAGATTCCACCTTCATCATTATGTTTCAACTGTTTGATCATGATGAGTCTCAGTGTGAATCTTTTTGGGTTCATCTTACTTGTGGTTTGATAAGCTTCTTACATGTGTAGATTACTCCTGGTATTTTCTCTTAATACTCTCTTTCTGGGGCTCCTGTAATGCGTATGTTGGTATGCTTGCTGGTGTCCCACAGGTCTCTGAGGCACTGTTCATTTTTCTCCATTCTTCTTAATTTCTATACCTCGATCATCTCAACTGACCTATCTTCAGGCTCCCTGATCCTCTCTTCTGCCAGCTCAAATCTGCGAAGTTCCTGTAGTAGTTCTTTTCTTTCATTTATTGTACTTTTTACTTCAGAATTTATGTTTGGATTTTACATGTAACTTATTTTTATTATTGATATTCTTTATTTGGGGAAACAATGTTTCCCTAATTTCCTTTAGCTCTTTAGACATGGCTTCTTTTAGTTCTTTGAACATATTTAAAATAGGTGATTTAAAGTCTTTCTCTAGTGAATCCAATGCCTAGACATCTTCAAGGACAGTTTCTATTGACTGCTTCCCTTCCTGTGTATGGGACATGCTTTCTTATTTCTTTGCATGTGTCATAGTTTTTTGTTGAAAACAGGCATTTTAAATAATATAATGTAGTAATCCTGAAAATGAGATTTTCCCTCCTTTTCAGAGTTTTTTGTTGCCATTGCTATTTGTTTTTCAGTCACTTTCCTGAGCTAATTTTGTAAGGTCTGTACTTTTTGTGTATATGGCCACTAAAGTCTCTGCTCAGTTAATTTAGTGATCAGCTAATAATTAGACAGGTTCTCTTAAAAGCCAGTAACCAAAAATCTCCCAGTCTTTGTCAAGGGTCTCTATGTACATGGTGGGACGTGCCTTCAGCATTCAGTCAGGCACTTTACAACTCTGCATTAACCTTCACCTCCTACTTGCACAGAGCCTCAGTGTCAACCAGAAGGGAGAGCTCAGGGCCTTCTCTGGTTTTCTTGGGCATGTACACAGCCCTACACATGCATGTGGCCTTCTAGTTTCTCAGGAATATGTCAGAGTTTTCCAAAGCTCCCTATGAACATCTTTCCCAAAAATATATTTTTGTTCTTTGATTAGCTTGCTGTTTTCCCCAACTGTTATCACAGCCCTATTTTCTAGCCACTTTACCATAAATATGTACTTCCTTGGTGGAAAGAGAGTTATTGGATCACCTTCTCCTCTTGACTTCCTGTTTGTTCCTCATTCTGAGCCCACATATCCCTGCCATCACCTGTCTTCACCCCACCACTCCCAAGCACAGATAAAGAAAACAATTCAGAAGAGAAACATTGTTTGAGAAGTAAAATCAAATCAGTGTTGACCTATTTTTCTAATACCTAAAAGCCCTGCAATATTTGTTTTAGAGGCATAAAGAGGGGGCTTCTGTGGGTCATCCAAGGAAACATTGAAAAAGGGTCACATTTCGGTTTTAAGATTAAGAGGAAGAGCACAGAGCTAGGATGAGGGCTGGTGCTGGCTCAGGCCCGACAGCTATCGTTAAGTCAATCACATAGGTCCCTGGCACCCCAGTTTCTTCTTCTAGACACAAGGAGCAAATGTAGTGCTGCAGGAATGTTGTGTAGCTCTGGACTCTTCTGTGTAAACATTCACAGGTATCCTCTTCTCCCTAATCCACCTGCATTCAGCACAAAGCAGCTGCGCAATACTTATTGGTGGTCCTGACAGATGACATACCAACTGGCTGGCTGGCTGCTCTCCTGAATGAATGGACACAGGGCCACAGTATAACATTCATGAGTCCCTGGTGATTTTGCCTTTGTAAGTCCCTTGCCCCATTAAGAAAATGTGTTAAATTGTATTTTACAACTGTGTTGGTGTAAAGATGAATACGTTAACAATTTTTCCATCTAAAAGTTTATATTTTCTGATTTTAAAAAAGTTAAAACATTTTCATGGGCCTCTAAAAGTATCATGAGCTGTAGACACCATGCCTTTTTGCCTAATGGAGAAGTCAGCCCTGGATTAATGACTGGACGAATATTTCCATTTCCTGAGAATTTTTATAAAAGAATTCTTTGGCCTCGGAAAAAAAAACACACACACACAAGTGTCATTTCTCATATCTTATGCCACACTTGTTGCCTATTTTTATTTTCTAACGAGTTGGCTGGAATTTTCCTCATTCTGCCATTTCATATTTAAAAGAAAGCTACTTCCTGACTCCAGGGCTGCTGGTAGCTCACGTGGTGCTTTTGTGCAAATTACAGAAAGGCTTCTCATGTTTAAGAAAAGGGAAAAGTGGCCAGGAGCAGTGGCTCACACCTGTAATCCCAACACTTTGGGAGGCCGAGGCAAGTGGATTGCCTGAGCTCAGGAGTTCGCGAACAGCCTGGGCAACATGATGAAACTCCATCTCTACTAAAATACAAAAAAAAAAAAAAAATTAGCCAGGCATGGCGGTGTGCACCTGTAGTCCCAGCTGCTCAGAAGTCTGAGGCAGGAGAATTGCTTAGACCCGGAAGGCGAAGTTTGCAGTCAGCCGAGATCGGAACCACTGCATTCCAGCCTGGGCAACAGAGCAAGACTCCATCTCAAAAAAAAAAAAGAAGGGGGAAAAGCTTTTAAAGTAGTTATGATTGCACAATCTGAGTAACTATGACCACTGGGCCTAAGGAAAGTGCAAATTCAGGTGGGTAACCCTTCCAACTGCATCTGGGGGCCACAGTCATGGCCTGTGTATTAATGGCAGGTGGGAGGGTAACACTGATCTGTGGCCTCTAGCTTAAAAGCAGCCTATGTGTAGTTCCGTATATGAAATTTCATTCTAAGTCTGCGGCTAAAGAGCTCAAATACCATTAGAACCCAGGCTAAGTCTCCAAGAGTAGTAGGAGGCCAGGGTCATGGCTTCAGGGTTCTCCCAGAGCAAAGAGTGGACCAGACATAGCCACACACAAGCAAACACTTGTGTGCATTTGCACATTTGATTTTCTTTGTGCATGACCGTGCAGGCAAATGTGGCTTGATGTGAGCCAGGACTCTCTCATTGTTCCCCAGGACTCCCCTAAGAGGCCTGGAATCTCCATGGCACATTAGCATGTGTCTACAACGTGAATGACACCTACTAAGTTGTGGCACTGTATGCAGGTCAGTCTCAACAGCTGCATGCAGTACTCCTCCCGGCTCTCTGTGACTCCTTGGCCATGGAAAGCCCACACTCACATATGCTAAAGCCTCCATTCTTCTCTCTGCAGGGATGACATGCCAAGCTCGAAGCTCCTACATCACCAGTGAGATCCTGTGGGGTTACCGGTTCACGCCTGTCCTGACCCTGGAGGATGGGTTCTACGAAGTTGACTACAACAGCTTCCATGAGACCTATGAGACCAGCACCCCATCCCTTAGTGCCAAAGAGCTGGCCGAGTTAGCCAGCAGGGCAGAGCTGCCCCTGAGTTGGTCTGTATCCAGCAAACTCAACCAACATGCAGAACTGGAGACTGAAGAGGAAGAAAAGAACCTTGAAGAGCAAACAGAAAGAAATGGTGATGTGGCAAACCTGGAGAATGAATCCAAAGTTTAGTGCCCTAGCTGGGCAACCCCTTCTCTTCTCCCCCTGACACAATCTTCCCTTGTCTCTCATTCTCTTTCTTTTTTGTCTCTCTTGCTTTGTTCTTTATTTATATTTAATTTTTACATGACCAGAAAACAAATCTTCAAGGTGTAAAATATCTACCTGCCCTCTCTCAGTTGTTTAGATTGACAAGGTAGACGTGGATTTGATGAAGGTGCAAAGTGCTCTCGTTTGTGGCCCAAGCCTGGTCTCCTCCCAAAATACTACACGTCCAGCTCCTGGAGATTTCAGTTACTTACCTGCATGTGTTGTATAATACCAGATCACTCAAAAAGGTGTGTCAAAGATTTTACCTGGGATATGACAAGCAAGGTTTCCGGTGCCTATTTATTCATTCAGTGAGACACAGAGTGGAGCCCTCAGTTTTATAGATCCCAATTCTTTTCATCTACTACAGGGTGAGGTGCTTGCCCCCGTGTGGGCGTGGCAGTTATAGGGCCCAGGTGAGCTGAAGACAAACCACTGTACATATATATGCCTTATGTAATTATTTTCTTTTTGTAGTTAGTTATAAAACCCAGCATGTACAAAAGTACCATAGAACAGAACTTCTAAATACTGTACATAGATGTATCATTAATGTAGGTTTAGATATATAACTTTAGAAATAAGAAGCAAAAAAAAAAAAAAAGAGAGAAAGATTCCTAACATGCAGTAGGCGTTTCTGTTTTGATGTCTGTGTTTTCCAGGTTATTTTGATCCTGTTGACGGCTGGCCCTTCAGTGCACGGCCTTTGTTTGTGTCTCAGACTGGCAGCCGTTAGGGTACCTCACTGTTCCCATGCTGATCCTTTCATTGAATCTAATAAGCCATAGGTCTGGGGGAAATTGAGAGATCTGGTAGATGACAAAACCCACCACCAATATGCTGATATACTGTGAAATGTTACAAAACAGATGTCTTTTTTTAAAAGATAACAAGGGCCTCACTAACTGGCCTGGAGGAGGGGGAATACCAGGAAGGAGATATTCTCTAGCATGTCACCAAAGGTATGTTTTTACTTTTCACATGAGCTCTTGCCCTTTGTAGTACAATAATTTAGGAAACTTTTCTGCAAAACCATTGATTCTCCAGCTGTAGTTTCTCTACAGACTGTTACAATGAGACATGGTAAGTTAGCAGAAGATGGTTTGGGTCTAAAGCCATGAAATTCATGAAGGCATGTAGTGAGTGACACGCATTATAATCATCGACCTCTCACGCTTTGACTCTATCTGGCGTTCTGAGAATGACATCTCGCCTGTCCCTGGGGCTTATCCATCAGCATTTCTTGCATTGTGATCTTTTATTTTTATTCTTTTATTATTTTGAAATGACCAGAGTTCAGTATTCAAAGATTAGATCAACAATCTTGATGATTGTCTAAGAAATGTCTCCAGAGTACGCCACAGGTTAGAAATCAAATCCAAAGTGTCTCTCAATCAAAAGAAAACAAACAAAAAACTCCAGCCTTAATTCACTTTAATCTGCAAAAAGGAAGGAAGGAAGGAAGGAAGGAAGGAAGGAAGGAAGGAAGGAAGGAAGGAAGGAAGGAAGGAAGGGTATTTGTACTGGAAATCTGAATTTTAAAATGAAAAACATAAGAAAATAAATCTTAGCTCAAACCTCCAGGGCAGGTGGAGATTTTGCACTGTAACAGATCTTTCACATTAATTTTGCATTTATAAGCTGTTTGTTCTTTAACACAGTTGCCCATCATAAATATTCATTGAATGGATCCAAGTTTATTTTCAGCTCCTACAGCTGTGCTCAGTTTGAGGCTCTGCACCATGGAGGTCAAAGAGATCAAACTAGCTGTCCCTCTTTGTTTCCCTTGCCTTCCCTGACCTGATTGCACAGGCCTTTGCTGTAGTCTGGGGACCTTGTCTACTAAAAAAGAAGTCCCAGGATAAGGAAAGTGGCTCCTAAATATAACCTCGGGGCCTCTCTTCTCCCATCTCAGAGACGTTGGATCAGAACAACTGCCTCTTGGCACTGACTTTAAGGAAGACAAAACTGTTGGCCATAGCCCTTTCCTGTTTGGCAGCATTTCCTTTTTTGCATTGAATCTCTGTTGAATCATTTCTTTATTTCACACACTCTAAGAAGGAGGTGGTTGTCCGGGAGGAGGAAGCTCGATACACACCCCTTGAGGCTGCGAGGAGGAGCCATGGCCTGACCTGGAGGCAGCCTAACGAAGGGCACTCTTGGCTTGGGGAGCTCCCCTGCAGCCTTGCCAGGGTTGCAGGGCAGGCCATGGCAGGTATGAAACGAGATGGAGTAGGGGCTGCAAAATGTCTTCTAATTTAGCTCTTGAAGACTCACTGGGCCTTTTTAATTCCATTGCTAAGGTTTAAAGGACAGTGCACAACCTGGTGTCTGGTTGGAAGAGCAGCTCAGGGCCTGATCCCTGCTTGCCTGCCCTTTAGCACAACTGAACGAAGAGCCTTGACAACACGTTGGCCACGTGCACCTGTCAGTTCTGTGTCTGTGACGGGCACCCAGATGTGAGGTCTCTCCCTGTTTCTCACTGTCTTTGTTGTCAATGTAGTTGGAGACAGAACTTGAACCAAATCTCGTTTTTGTAATGTGAGCCTCTGAATCTTTAAATGAGGATGCTCCTGAAGAACCTTTTACTAGAATGTCCCTATCAAACATGTCTATTTTTCTACAGTTGTTAACACAGTTTAACAGTGTATTTTGTGTCAACCGTTAAAATTTGGAACTGAAAGTTCATTGAGACTGATTTTCTAAGCAGCAAGTAGTGAGCGAATGGTGTTTTCCATTAAGACAGTTCAACAAAATTGACCCCACCATTTCTACTCATTCTATTCTCCAATATCCAGTCCTCATTCCCTCAGTCACTCCATTAGCAAACCAAGTGCAATGAGAATTTTTTAAAAGTCTCTTTTAATACAACAGTATCCATAACCAGTGAAGATCACTCTCAACTTGATCCTTTGGTCTGTTTGGTTAATGCATTTCAGTCGCTTTTCCATAAAGCATGGTGGGATCCGTGAGCCCGATAAGAATTTGGAATTTAAGGGTATGGTTTGCCACGGTTGACCCCAATCTGACAGAACAAAGTGCTCCTGGATGGAAGGGCAGGTTCAGCTGCAAACATGACCCCCACCACAAGGCTGCTGAGTTCCTTGGATTCTCACCTCCGCCCACCTCAACGTGCTCTCCAACTGGAAAAGCACCCATTCATTTATAAATCAACTTTCTGGAACCAATAAAATCATTTATGTTTTAGCTGTCCCCTGGGCAAGCTATACTCTTTTGCATTAACATAGCAAATGTCAACTTTTCTGTTCCTTCAATGTTCCTTCAAACATGGCCTTCCAGCCTGGCTGTTCCAACATATATCCCATCTATGTCCATGAGACAGAACTCTTTCTTCCCCAACTCCCTTCCTCCATCTATCCCCGCCCTTTGTTCTTTTATCTGGTTCTCCAGTTCCAATTCTACTGTTTTAGTTCAGTACCTTATGTTCCCTAACAGAAATCCAGCTGCAAATGTCAACCTATTTCTTAAGCACAATTTTCTCTTGCAGGTTTAACCAAGCTAGGGCTCTGAAATGTCTATTTTTCATTGCATTCTAATTTAAAAACTATTCATGACTTCATTTAATAGTCTAAATTTTGAATTCTCCAGAGCAACATTCTTATGCTTTCCATCCCCACATTTTCTTACATTCCACGTTTCTTACTTTTTTCCCCTTTGCTTTTTTATTTAGATTTAGGCCAGTGTCTTTGGGATATTTAGAAACTGCTTACAAAGGTGGGAACTGGTGGACAGAAAAAGGAGGCATAAGAAAGCTATTAGAAAACTACCTGAACTCACCAGAAGAATGGGAAATCATTTGATTTGCTGAAAGAATATGGTTAAAATACTCATAGTAAATCATTTCCAAAACAGTCTGCTAATAGTCTGGCTACTCTTCAGTCTTTTTTTCCTTGACTTGGGTGATACTCTGTATGATTTAGAAATGTCAGGAAGGTAGTTGAAAGTTCAGTGTCCTCTATATATGGTAAACATTATCTTCCAGGAGATTTCCTCTCAATGGATGGCTTTAACATTGAAAAACATAGGTAACATATACCTAATAGATGATTCGTTGATATTACATTACAATACACTAAAATAACATTATCTTGTTTCTAAACTTTATGGCCAACCTGTATTTAAGAAAATGTGAGCCTTTAGTTTAAAATTTAGTAAAGCACACCTCTTCCTAATAGTTCTGCCTTCAATGTCTTGAGTGCTTTAGATGCAGAGTGTCATCTAGAAGTCAAAATTCTGTCAGAAGGCTGCTAAGATATTTTGATAAATCACAGAATGTATAATAATAACAAAATGATATTTTACCCAACATGGTATGGTGTTTGAGAGCATTAAGAGCACTTGTACAAATTATCTTATTTCATTCTGATTCACCATGAGAGGCTGAGTATTATAATTTACATTTTATAGAGGGAAAACTAGGGTTTGGGCAAATTGGCCAAGTTTACAAGGCCAGTGAATCATAGCTCCTTGTCTCAAATCCAGGTCACAAGGTCCTAAGCTGTGGGCTATTTTTACTACAAAAAATTTTGGCAAACCAAATCTGCTAAAAAAAAAAAAAAAAAAAAAAAAATCTGGTCTGCTGCCTGTTATTGGACCACTTGTGAGCTAAAAGTGATTTTTACATGTTTTAATAATTGGGGGAATAAAAGAAAAGAAGAATATTTTGTGACATGTGAAAATCATCCTAAATTCAAATTTCAATGTCCACAAATAAAGTTTTATTGGAACACAGCCACAGCCATTTGTCTGTGTATTGCCTATGGCTGCTTCCACATGCACTAGCAGAGCTGAGTAATTACAACAGAGACCGTGTGGCCGGCAAAGATTGAAATATTTACTATCTGGCCCTGTATAAAAAAAAGTTTGCTGACCCCTGTACTGTACTGTTAAGTACTATTGGTACTATTAAGTACTAGTAATAGTACTATTAATAGTAGTACTACTAAGTACTATGAAATATTGTACTGTACCCTTAACAGATTCCTAGGCAATGTAGAAGAATGACTTTTTTTCTAGTGTAAATCTATTGAAGTCACTCATAAGTCTGGTCAAAATAACATAACCTTTTTTTTTTTTTTTTTTTTTGAGAGGGACATCTGCTTCACGAGACTTAGAGAGGCCAGTCATTCAGTTAGGGTCTCAAAGGAAGAATCCTTCCTTTTCATAGCCATTCCTCCAGAGTGGCAAACAGAGTCAACAGCCAGCCAGGATCTAGTGGTCAACTCAGAAAGTAGACACAGTAAAATTACTCCTTAATCAGCTACAGAGAAATGGACATTCTCAGCCCTGCAACAGAAATATTGCTTCAGTGGCACCCACAGGCGTTGGATGATGTACGTAGCTCAGGCTGCCAGTCTCTGCTCAGCAAAGCAGCCCAGACCTGCAGTGGTTGCTGCACATCAAACCCGCCTCGCTCCTCCACGTGACTTCTCTCTTAGGCTCTCTTGGAGGAGAGCTAAATAGGTGGCCCAGATGTCTCCCTCTGTTTTCTTGCTAGTTTTCTCTAGCCTACAATTTACAACTGATCAAGGTGATGAACGTGAACCTGGAACTACTGCTCGTGTTTAATTGCGCTAGTTCTGGCTCTCTCTAGCCACTAAGCTAGAAGTTTAACATGCAATTAAAGAACTAAATGCTTCTCATGGAAAACCAAAAGGTCCTTTGAAAAGAGCTCAGGGAGACACGGAAGTGTAGTAAAGGCTTGTTGGATTTCTTGCGCTTTCTGAGTCTGAAGCAAAGACAAAGATTGGTAATTACAGACATTATGAATGGAAAAAGTCCAGACCTTGGGATTTTTAGATAAGTCAATATTAAATGACATTCTTT